TTCTCGACGCAGAGGCCGGCCGTACGAGTGCTGCGCGTCTGGACGTTCGCCTCGTGGGCCGCCCGACGCGGACACTGGGAAGAGATGGCCAGAGATCGCGACAGATTCGTGAAGAAGTGTCAGAAGATTGAGGCGAAGATCGGATCCGTTTTGAGCGCAGAGCACAGACAGCGTGTGTTTGAGTCAAGATTTGAGTCGTATTTAAATAATGATAAATAATTGTATTTATAATTTGAATTTTTATACAATTTGTTGATAATTTATAAAATGCTATAAAACGTTGATTTAATTATGAAATAAACGCTTATTTAAACACTTTTTAAGTATTTTTTATTAATGGTTTGGAATGTGTCTTAAAATTACAAAATTCAACAATTATTGCATAAAATAATGAATAGATTTTTCGCTAATCGTATAAAAACTTAGATTTCGTCCTCTTTTACGACCACTTCTTCGCTCTTATTGTCGACGCTTTCGTTGCTGTCGGCCGAAGAAGAGGTCAATTGCGGCGATTTGGGAGTCTGTGCCTCGAGAGCTACCAAAGCGGCCAACAGGTCTGTCCTCTGCTGCCCAGTCATTCCCGAGTGAATCAATTGCACCAAAGAGTCGAATGTTGCCGAAGGGAAGTCATTGTAGAATCTGTGGGCAGAGGAAAGGCGTCACAGGACTGACAGATGGCATGCGAGTGGAAGGACTGACCCCTGGATTTGCCGCGAGAGCGCATCCCTTTGAATGCACCGAATGTTCTCAATGACTGTCGACGACGTGGTCTCGAGTTGAGTGGACAGCCATTCGGCGACCGCGCGGTTGTCGTCCCACAAGTGTTGCTGCGGAGAGAGAGGTGTTAGAGAGAGACAAAGACATAGACATGACGTGAGCGTACGTTGTGTTGTCCGCAGTGCTCTGTAAACCAGCGCCGAATCATAGACTTGGCCTCCAATTCGTTCTTATTCTGAACGATGGCCTGAATCTCGTCGACGACGCGGTTCTCGGAGAGCGCGCGACGCAAATGCCAGTAGAAGTAGAGGCGGGACTTGTGCCACAAAACCACGTCACAAATGCATCCCTTTTCGTACATACGCTGCGGCGTGTCGTGGAGGTCGGCGAACGAGAGCGCCACCTGATGGTACATTCCCATCAGCGACGCCTCCCTGTCCGCCAACTCGCGCTCCAAACGCTTCTTCTCGTCCGCGGAATTCGTTTCATTGATTTGCTTCAACAGGTCTTTGCAGCCGTTGTCGCAGCGATGCATCGTTTTGACCAAATCCTTGGCGCGGAAACGGATCTCAACGGTTCCCTCGGGCTCCAGAACGCCGCCCCTGCCGTCCGGGTCGGCGAACATCTTCATGTGGCGCGGATTAATGGTCGCGTCTGCGGAGGAGACAAGAGTTAGCCGCCGATAAGACATACGACAGAAGGCATACCGAGCACAGCCCACGCGCCGCCTCTGAGTTCGGCGAAGGGCGGGATATAGACGACAATCGGCTGTTTGTATTCGTGCAGAGCGTCTACAATATAAGCGCCGAATTTGACGACCTGGTCGTACATGTCTTTCATTCCGCCCGAAAATCCTCTCCAATTCGCGAATATGAAGAGCGGCAGGTCTTCGCGCGCAAAGTCCTCGATGGCCTGCGCCG